AGCGAAACGACGTATTTCTGAGCTGCCTTCAATAATCTTCCTGTAAGTTGACAGTTGGCTTGCAGCAGATAAGGCTGAGCAATCACTTAATCATCAAGAAATTGGAATGAAACACCTTGTGTATGTTTTAAGCTTGTATTTCTATTACTTACAAGGCTCTTATGAATGTTCCAAGATTTTGAGTAACTTCTAGATTTCCCTTTTCAGTCTTGATTTCATATGGAATGTTGTGAAGGGAATTACTTCAAAGTAGCTTTGTGGTTAACTCTGTGGGGTTGTTCCAGAGGTCTGCGGAAACCTGGATCTAGGAAAAACATGGGTAACACTATTGCTTCCAGACCCAAGCTCAGTTGCAGTGAGCTCTCAAGACTCTGCAAGTGGTTTTGGGAGAGCTTAACAGCCTGGCTAGAGCCCTGACAGCAAATACAACATTTATTAATCACATGTGAGACAGAAATACGCAGCCATCATGGTACCAAACCAGCAGTTTTGCCCCGAAAAAGCAAAACAGGAGCAGTAGAAAACAAATAGTCAAGCTAAGGATTTATAGGAGTGATCTAATTGACTCTAATGAGGAGAGTAATGCCGTATATGATAACTTGATAGTTTGAAATACAGCTTGGAAAAGCATCCATTTCACATGTTAAAAATATCTTATGCACAGATGTCATCAACAGGATCATTGCGTGGATGAGGGACCAGCACAGGGGAGGAACTGTCCACTTTCATAACACACTGCTAAGCAGTTTCCACAGTATAAGGGCTCCTCGGAGCAAGGGAGACGTGGAGAAACCCTCTTGCGGTGTGGAAGAACAGTTTCCATTGCGTGGTCCAAGGAGCAGAGCTCACAGTGTGAGCTTTCATGTGTGCCATGAGTTTGCCTGGCAAGGGGTGCTCCAGATATCCACCCTACAACCAAGTAGCGTCTGTGAATGGAGACAGTCAAAGGACCAGAGATCCATAACGAAGCAGGCAGGAGCCGTTACAAATTGCCAGCATAGATATACCCTTGGGAATGTGTTCTGAAGAACAGAGAAGCTTTGAACAGAGTCCAGCCAAGACCTGACCCAACCATCTCAACAATTCATGTCCCTCAGAAAATGTTGCTCTGAGCCCAAGGCAAAGAGGAGTCAAACAGATTTGCCATCCTGGAAGTCAGAGAGCAAGCCAGAGTGGCTCATGAGCTGTCAGTGAAAGAAAAAGAAGGTACCACAACTTCTTATACATCAGAGGATTTTCTAATCTCTTCAAAAAGAGAAATCTCGAGGAGATGGATGACACCAAATATTTTTTTTCCCCATTTTCTTCTTCAGGGAGATATTAGTGAATGCCCTCAGAAAAACAGAGCCAACATATTTGCATATATACAGCAACTCTTTTGGGAGACGTTGTGCTTTGTAGATTGTCACTTCTCTTCCACAGGACAAGATAACTGTCTTGATCACAGAGGGGATTTACATTAAAGGATGCTTTGATTTGGAGGCAAGAGAGCACAGAACCAGGAGTACTGGAAGAAGGGCACCAAATCAGTGGTGGCAGGTTGTGTCATCATCAGCGAACTTTTAGACACCTTTTAGAGGTACAGCATTAATTTCAAACGTAGCCAAAGCTGTTTTACCAACATAAAGTGTTCAGCTGCTTTCCTTGTCTGCTATGCCCCTCCCTGCCACCTTGTTGGTTTGTTTTGATTTTTATAAACCGGGAGATCTTTGGTCCAAGTGTCACCTCACAGTAACTGCATAATTCCTGTGACTACTGCGTGTGAGTTGGCTTTCCTCCTTCATTTTGTACTGTCTCTAATTGAGATATAATGTCAAACCGGAGCAGGAAATGAAGCAAGGTCTAAGGTTATGTCTACACTACAGTTAATTGAGGGGGGCAGCTGGCACTCGGACACAAGCATCTGGATTCATTTGCCATAAGGTCCGCTACAGAGTATTCCTACAGCCTCTGGATTTATGCCCCTACCCAAGCGTGGGCACATCCCCCCAGGCCTCTCTACTGAGACCTTCTTGGATCCTTTCACCGCCAGATGTGAAATAATTTCCTTTTAGAAGAACTATGAAAAAGTGTAAGAGGACCGTTTCTGTTTCCTCATTGCAAAGCGATTGCATTCAAGCCTGAGGTAAAGCAGGGCATGATTTCTAAATCGATACCCCTCCAGCCTGGGTTTAAACAACACCCTTAAACTGATGGGCTGTTTTCTGCAAGAAAGAGCCATGGCGCACGGCTCAGATTATCTAACCTAGGCGAAAAGCCAGTTGCGGTTACAGCCCTCCAAAACAGCTACCGGAGCGATGGAGCTTACAACAGGGAAAGGCAAAAAAACCAATCTGGGAGGACCTAAAGGTGAAAAAAGCCTGGCAGAGCTAGGGAGGCAGACGCTGCCATGTGCCATAGCATGAGGCTGGAGGAGACAGAAGTGCTGCCACCAGCCAGGCTGCTCCTAAGCAGAAGAGAGGAGCTAAAGTTATAGTGGCTTTCACCCTTCCCTGTTTGGTGGCCTTTGTTTCCAGCAAAGGTGCAGTCCTGATGAATTTAAGCATAGTGAGAATCGGCCGTTCTTACCCATTCTTCAAAGCTTTTTCTGGACCTCTTAGACTTTACAAGCCACAGGATGGAAATCGCTGGACAAAAACAGGCAAATAAGCAAAACAAGATTTCTTCACGTTATTACCTGTGTCACAAATGCTGTATGCCTGGTGACAAGGACTCAAGCTAACAAAGGCAGTAGTTTTTACTTCCAGGATACACACACTAAGGAGCTCAGTCCCTACCAGCTGCCTCAGCCCTCTAAGCCTGAAGGAAGCAGAAACCAGGCACCACACTTAAATCCCAACGTGCCGTCTCAGGTGCAGGGCCAGCACACAACGTTTCCCATCTCTTGGGTGATTTTTAATACCAGCACCTGGGGAAGGAGCGGGGTACTTGCCAGCGCCCTGCAATTAAACCCTACACCGTTCACTGGTGTAGTTTCATCTGAGGGCATCCTGGAGTCAGCGAAACAGTTCTGATTTCCCTTGGGGTGTTGTTAAGCCTCCCGGAGGAAACCGGCTGGTGGCAGGGGCCCACCGGTGCCGGCAGCAGCTGAGAAGGCTTCCCGCCCCCCTGGGGTGGCAGCCGCAGCCTGGTATGACCGGGCCGGCGTGCCCCGTGGGCCAGTGGCCAGCCCCACAGAATCATAGAGCTGTTTAGGTTGGGAAAGACCCTTAAGATCATCGAGTCCAACCGCTAACCCAGCACTGCCAAGCCCACCCCTAAACCATGTCCTCGAGCACCA